GAAAACAAGAGTTAGCCAAGAGAGGCTGATAGAAAAAGATTAAAGACATTTCACTCAAGACAAGTTGAAGAAGAGTAAAATGTGAAGGCTCTTATGATCCGCCAGGTGCGTTTCATAAGAGTATGAGTATTGGTACATTTTGTGTTGTACATTTTGTGTTGTGTTGGTACATTATTGAACAACAATAAACCATATTTAAAAAGATGCATCTATATTTTCTGTTTCTCTTGCTATTTCCCCATGAATGAGGATCGTGATTTTCTCTTAAATTGTCCCTATTGGTTTCTGTCATCAGCTGCTTTTAGAGTTTCGCAAAATGAGTGGCTGCCTGAATTCCGAATTATATTGTTTATTGTCTCTGGGGATTAATTTGGTAATCAGAGCATTAGTGTATAGTTAATGAACGCGTTTTTATTGTGTCATGGACATCCATCGGAAAAAGACGCACAGTTTTCGTGTCGACATAATTTAAAAGCTTTAGATAAAAGAAAAAGGTCGATGTAATTTGATCAGATCCAGATCAGATGCCAGTTCTATCTATGTATTTAAGATAAGTGTTTTTAAATTCACAGAAACACAACAAAACGTGTAAAAATTGAGCTACATAAGATAAAATCCGCCTGTAATAGAGTTTTTGGTAGAGGTTGTACTTGCTAAGATCTGGATAAAAAGGATGATAGCTTTAATTTACACAAAAATCAAAGAAATGACAAGTTCTAGAAAAAATACATGAACGGATATCTTTAAAAATTTTAAAGCAGATATTATTACTGATATGAAGGAAAGATTGTGCCACTGGACCAATTACATCCAAAAGCTATTTAATGATGAAAGAGAAAGACCGTCATTAAAACTACAGAGGATACCAATATTATGGGAAGAAGTCATCTATGCCATCAAAAACACAAAAAAAGCAAACCTACCGAAGCAGATGATGTGCCCATCGAAATATTAAAACTCATTGATGAAGGTGTTATTGATGTTATGATTAACTTCTTTAAACTAATATATCAGGTTGTCTCAATCCCCAGACAATGACTGCTATCATCCTTTGTGGCAATACCTACAAAGTAAAGTGCAATATCCTGCTTAGATCACAGAACATGAGCTTTAATGAGTCACACAATTAAAATATTTTTTTAAATAATACACAGCAGAATTGTTTAAACTCTTGTATATGAAATTAGTGACACATAATTTTGCTTTAGAAATGGTATTGACAGAAGGGATGCTTTGTTCGGCTTAAATGTGTTGGCCCAGAGATTTATGGATATGTATCAGGACATGTACTTATGTTTTGTAGTTTTTGAAAAGGCATTTGATAAGGTTCAACATAAAAAGATTGTAGAAATATTAAAAAGCAAAAATATTTACAGTCGTGATATGAAAATTATATCTAATCCATGTTGGAGTCAAACTGCCAAGGTAAGAGTTGACCACCACGACACCCGAGGTAACAAAAGCAGAGAGGAGTATGCCAGGGTTGCGTGTTGCCACCACTACTCTTTAATGTCTACAGTAAAGCGGTATTTGAAGCGGTATATCTAATAATGGAGAAGTTTTATGGAGAAGAACTTGCGTTTTGCGGGCTATACAGTAATAATGACGGATAATAACAATGATTTACAAAACGTTATGCAACGACATAATGAATGCTGTCATGGATACGAACTAAGGATTAATTTTGAAAAAAAAAACTAAATCCATGATCATGACTAAATCAGCAGATGCAAGCATACGATTGATTGTGTAAAGAACTGGACTGATAAATCAATAAAGGGATTATTTCTTATATGTCCAAAATATCAAGGACTAACAATAGGATGCACATGAATTGGCTCCCGCTTGCAGGTAACAAGCTCTCTACCGATAAAAGGCTTTGCGTGAATTGGCTCCCGAAAAAATTCTTGGAAATTTAGGTAGGTAGGCGATTGATTTTATTGGCGTGGATGGCCAGTCCAAAAATTGGATTTTTCTATCATTCTTTAAATTCGTATACTCTTCGCCGCAAACTTTAGTTTCCTGATAGTTTTGCATCTTGCTTGTACTTGATCATATCGTCGTAGAAATTTTGAATACTGAAATGTTGAATACAAGAGAACGGGGAAAACCCATGCTAGTGGCGAACAGTTTTAAATATAATTTCCATAAGTTACCATGACATGGCTCTTCTGCCTATTCCTCTTTAACCCTCTATCTTGCCTTCAATTATTATTTGAAGCAGATTATATTTATCATTTCTCATTATGTAACCTAGGTATAGTAGCCTCGTATTTCCGTGAGACTGTGCAAAAATTTATGTATAATAAAATCATTCAACAAAAAGGTACTCTACCAGGAGTCTGTAAAATTATCAATGACTCAGACGTATAATAATACAAAGTTTCCAGATTCCACTCGATATTAACATTCAGACGTGCCTGGTATAATCTTTTAAAATATGAACCAGATATGAACAATCAACCAATTAAGTTTTCATCGAACTTATGATAAGTCCACGTGGACTAACGGCCAATGAAAACATCGGATATCGCTGTTATGACAAATCATAATGCATTATCTTTTGTCGGTAGACTTATTCATACTTGGGGTAAGATTATATCAGTATTTGACTGAGCTAACGGAGTCATAAAATAAGGGATCAGGTTTCGACCGTCCAGTGCCGAAGGCACGGGACGGGGAAAACTTAGATAGGCAAATTTTTATAATATTTTATTTTTAAATTGCGGATATGACCAACAGATTTTTGGGAGACTAGAATATTTTTAGTAAAATCATAACTGCTAAAGCGTTCAGTTAAATTCAAATTTCAAATAGTGAACCGCAAGTTAGTTTGGTAGTAACTTTTTCAGTGTTCTTTATACGGAAAACATTTTATATTTACGTTTTTTACTTTTTTTGATACGTTTTTACGTGATTATGTTTTTATACGTTTGATAATTTTAAAATATTGCGTCCGTGGTGCGATAATAATTATGTAGCTGAAGAGACAATGGAACCCTCTAATCGATTGGAAGATTTTCAAAGGCGTGTAGTAAAACGTAAGCGACATTTTCAATACCTTTCTGATGATGCCAAACATATGCTAAAAAATGTTTATGAAGGACTGTGTGCTGAATTGTCTAAATCAGAGGCAATTGCAGAAACATGTTTTTTAACCAGAGTGCCCAAAGCAACCTGCTACAAAATTATAGGAGAAACATCTTCTTCTAGACAGAAGAGAAAGGATTGTGGCAAATTCAGAAAAATAGAACCGCACTTAATTGAATCTATAACTAGAACAATATACCAAATGTATGCGGCTAATATTTTTCCAACTATTGAAAGCCTTCGAAGTGAATTAGTTCGAAAGTGCATTCTCTCGTGTTCAGCAACAACACTTCGATTATTTCTTAAAGCCAATAATTTTAAGTACAAAACTAAAGACAAGAGACAGACATTAATGGAAAGAGGATTATAATTTTACACTGCGGTGGAGAAAATGGATGGGTCGACGATGCATTATTAATATCTGCAAAACAAATTAAAAACGCGTCTCTGGATCATCATGACGATATGGAAAGTTCAATTTTTGAATCATGGTTTGAAAAATGTCTTCTTTCGAAATTACTTAATGATAGTGTGATTATCATGGACAACGCATCATTATCATTCAAGATTAATGAAAAAAACTTCAAATAATAGTTGGAATAAATTCTTCCATCTACTGAATATGTTCCTAGCCTGTTCTATTTGTGTTTTTAGTTCTATATTTGGATCCCACTTATCGTTTAATACTACTCCTAAGTATCAGAATTTGTGAACTTTTTATAATTCAGTGTTATTTAGGTCAATGTGATAATTTTCATCGGTTTTGCTAATCACAGTTACTTAGTTTTTAGAAAAATTATTGTCAGTCCTATCATGATACTATGACTAACAAGATAGGATCTTTCCGTACAAAATCGCTCGTGTTCGCGAATGCCGTCATTGGAGAGTAGAATTTGAATTCTTATTAAAGTTAAATAGGATTTAGTGGCATTCTGTGATGAAATTACTAGACGAAAATAAGTTAGGAGGTTTAAAAACAAAAAGAGAAATCATACGATTCCTACCTGGCGAAATCGAATTCAAATATAAGCCACCGTGCTTCCTAAAACTTGCGAAGCAAACAGCTTGATGAATTTACTCTCCAAATGCCGTTCATCATGGCCAATATTCGTAGTGAATTCGATTTCTGGTACTCCAAACGAAGTAAAGAAATAAAACACAATGACGGTATTAGAATTTAATTCGATACAGAGTAGCTACAAGCCGCATATACGTATTTCCACTTCTTTAGGTCTCCTCAGTACGGTATAGCAACTACTCCGTATCGAACCAAAATATTTTCCCGTCGTAGACCATAGTTATTAAAAATAACTATGTACAGACGTAACTACGCAATCTAAGAACAAAAAGAGAAATCGTACGACTTCTTAAATAGCTCATTGGTTCTAAAGAAACGGCTGCAGTATTCATTATAGTTGTTTTAAGTATAATAATAAGTAATTTTTTGAAATTTTTATGAATTAAATAATTATATTATTATCTCACCACAAGAATATGACTGTAGAACATCTTGTAGTTCGCCTTTAGTTTGATCACAATTCTTCCAATAAATCAATAAATTTATTTTCTAAAAAATGTAAATAAATCTCACCATTCAAATTGAAAGGTAATTTGCATATCCCTAAAATATCATTCAAAATTCATATTTAAAATGCATGGATCCTATGCATTTGGAACCATTGGTAATCATTTTTTAACGATGTGCGAATTACCGTGCAATTTGGATGTCGAGATTTAGTTACATTTTTTATAAAATGATTTTATTGATTTATTGGAAGAATTGTCATCAAACTTCATGCAAAATATGTGGTTTCTACAAGATGGTACACCATATCAATTAGTACTTCTACAAATAATATATTTAGAAGATAGGCCAGTACTTGATCTAAAAAATTTTAAAATTTTTAAATATGTCATGCACGAAATGTTTGTTGGATGTCAAGGGTGGTGAATATTGGGTTTGTGATGGTTGTAATCAGAATATTCATCATCAATGTGCCAATCTGACAGCATCAGAAATCAGGGTGTTGGAGTTAAAGGGTAGAAGAGTCCTTCAACTTTTTTGCGAATCCTGTCAGGAGGGTATTAAAATGATTCCTATGATGAAGAAGCAAATCAGTTCTCTTGAACAAAAGGTGGAACAACTTATTGATAAAATTAGCTCACTAGAACTGCCTAGAGATAACAAAGCCACAGATCTTGACACCATCATCCAGGAACTGGAGAAACGTAAATTCCGTGAAAATAATATTATTTTTTATAACCTCCATGAAACCAACTCTAGCACAGCACCAGCAAGAATTGAAAAAGATATGAAGAAAGTTAAACAAACTTTACGCGTGATCAATCCCAATATTCAAGTTAAAAAAGTCATTAGACTTGGTAATATCAAGAATAATATGTCACGTCCACTTAAAGTAGTCCTTGAAAATAAGAATGTAGCACTATTAATTTTAAAAAATAAAAATAAACTTGCTGCATCCAATATTAAGATTAGCTCCGATTCCACCTATCTACAGAGAAAATACCTTCGTGAACTTCGTACTAATTTGGCAGAAAGGGTTTCAAAAGGTGAAGAAAATCTTACCATTAGGTACATTTGTGGCGTATCAAAAATAGTAATCCAGACTGAATTCCAGGGGTACCTCCCACATTGTGTCTAACGAACTAACAGTATATTATCAGAATGTTGGAGGAATTAGAACTAAGCTTGGTGCTCTTGAAGAAAGTGCTGCTACAACTGACTATGATGTGCTTATATTTACTGAGTCGTGGTTGTGTGATGGTATCAGTAGTGACGAATTGGGACTTTTAGATTTTAATATATATTGAAAGGACCGCTCTCCATTAACTAGTATTAAAGTAATTGGAGGGGGTGTCCTTATTGCAATTAAAAAATGTTATTCATCGAGGTCTATTCTATTACCACATGTTCACTTGGAGGAACTGTTTGTTGAAGTTTGCACACTGAATCAATGCTATATATTTGGTACAGTTTATCTTCTGCCTAATTCAGCCTTAATGTGCTATGAGAATCATTGTATTAGTATAGAATCTGTCTGTAACAATTTTTCTGAACACAACTTTATTCTAACAGGAAACTACAATCTGCCAAACAGCGAATGGTACCATGATGAAAGAGGTGTCTTTAGTAATAATAGTAACACTGCTACTGATACTTTAGTTGATACTTTTGCATTTTATAACCTATTTTAGCTCATTCAAATCACAAATTGCAACGGAGTTTTACTTGACCCAGTTTTTGCAAATGATAATGAAAATGTAACAGTTGAAATTGCTAATGATTATTTATTGCCTTGTGATCGTTATCATCCTGCGTTATCAATTTCTTTAGCTATAAAAGATAATATGCCCGAGCTTCAATATAATAGTTTTGCCTTCAATTTTAGGAGAGGAGACTATGTTGCTCTTAATATGTATCTTGTTAGTATCTCCTGGGAGAACGTTTTAGGTATTTGCAGAGATATTAACGAAGCCACGGAACTGTTCTACTCCATATTGCAGTTTGGTGTCAATTGTTCAATACCACGTACAAGATTAAAAAATCCCAAATTTCCTCGTTGGATGACTAATGACCTAAAATCATTAATATTTAGGAAAAAAATTGCTCATAAGATATATAAACAAACAAATTCTTGGGACGATTATCTACTTTTCTCTTCCTTGAGAACCAAATGCAAAGAACTAAGCAGGTCATTAAGTTAGCATTAATTAAGTCAGCATTAAAAGGTATGAAGAACAACAAAACACCTGGAGAAGATGGCATTGTAAGTGAAATGATAAAACTAGGAGGCGAATGCGTCATAAAGGCTTTAAAAACCCTTTATAATGCCTGCCTCTTTGAAGGAAATACGCCAGAAAAATGGAATAATGCCATTATGATAATATTGCATAAAAAAGGAGATGTAACAGAAATTGGCAACTACAGACCTATCAACTTATTATCTCATTTATATAAACTCTTTATGAGAATAATTACTAACAGACTGGGACCTAAGCTAGATTTTCATCAACCTCTAGAGCAGGCCGGATTAAGGAGTGGCTTTGGAACAAATGACCACCTACAAGTAATAAAATCCTTGATAGAGAAAGTTATAGAATACAACAAGCCATTGATATTAATATTTGTAGACTTTGAGAAAGCATTTGACTCAGTCCAGCATAGCTCCATGTTAAGAGCTCTTACAGAGTGCAGTATTGACCATAGGTACACAACTCTTCTTCGAAATATATATGATAGCGCAACAGCTGCTGTAAAAATGTACTATGGTGACACAGACACATTTCCCTTGGAGAAAGGTATTAGGCAAGGAGACACTATCTCTCCTAAACTATTCACCGCCCTATTACAGAGTGCTATGAGAAAAAATAATTGGGAAAATATTGGATTAAATATAAATGGGGAATTTTTGAACAACTTGAGGTTTGCAGACGACATAGTCCTTATTGCAGATCAGGTAGATCATGCATGCCAACTTCTTCAAGACCTTCAGAGCTCTTGTGCACGAGTTGGCCTTAAAATTAATTTTTCCAAAACACAATACACGACCAACCTGGTACTGGCAAAAAACATTTCCACTAATGGCACGCAAATTGAGCAAGTGTATTCCTATAAGTATCTGGGCCACGAGAATAGGACGAGAATAGGAGAATAGGACTGGCATGGGCAGCATACGGAAAACTGAGGGAAGTCTTTAAATCAGCTATTCCCATGTGCTTGAAGAGAAAAGTTTTTGATCAGTGTGTACTTCCAGTTCTGACATATGGAGCAGAAACATTGACACTTACCAGAAAAGTAATTAATAAGATACAAGTGGCACAGAGAGCGATGGAGAGGTCAATGTTGGGCGTATCACTCAGGGACAGAGTTTCGAGTCAGATAGTAAGGAGAAAAACTGGTGTGACGGACGCAGTTGAAAGAATTACAACCCTGAAATGGAACTGGGCAGGACATGTTGCTAGGGTCAGAGATGGAAGATGGACAAAGAAAATTTTAGAGTGGAGGCCTAGACACGATGCTTATCGTAGTCGAGGACGTCCTCCAACAAGGTGGTCGGACGATTTAAAGCGCATCCAGTCTAACTGGATTCAAGTTGCTCAAGATCGGATGCAATGGAATTATTTACGGGAGGCCTATGTTCAGCAGTGGACGCAAAATGGCTAATGATGAAGTAGGTCATGTCATAAAATTTATATAAGTCAAACTGAATCTAGAATTAGTTCAAACGTCAAGCACTTTTGGAATTTTGTTAACAGCAAACGCAAAAATATTGGTTCACCAAACACAATGTTTTTTGGAAACACAATGCTTAATAATGCTTTCAAAATATTTATAGAGCAAATGATGATGATTTAATACAGCCCATCTTAGAGTATGAGAAAGCAGTGAGTCTAAATTCTTGTAATGTATCTATTGAAATCATATTTGAAGAATTAGCCAATTTAGACATTTATAAGGGCTCTGGGCCAGATGGAATTCCACCCATACTATTAAAAAAATGTAGATGTACTTTAACCCATCCCTTATATTTTCTGTTTTCTCATTCACTTGATTCAGGTATTTGTCCAAGTTTGTGGAAATCTAGGTTTATTGTTTCGATTCATAAATCAGGTGACAGGAGTAACATAGCTAACTACAGACCAATAAGCATTCTTTCTTATATTCCTAAAATACTAGAGAGTATAATATGTGACTCTATTAAAACACCTTTATGCAATGTACTAATTGAAGAGCAACATGGTTTTCTTTCAGGTAGATCAACTTCGACAAATCTTTTACTTTTCACGCAATACATATCTGATGCTTTGGAAAGGAGACTACAGGTGGATGCTATTTATACAGATTTCTCCAAAGCATTTGACACTGTGAATCATAAATTGTTGTGTAACAAGCTTAAAACTATTGGATTTACAGGCAATCTGTATAACTGGTTATGTAGTTACCTAACTAGTAGAATACAACTTGTTAAAATTAAACACTTTCAATCTAGTGAGATCTCCGTAACATCTGGTGTTCCACAAGGAAGCCACTTAGGGCCTTATTTTTTTAATATATTTGTTAATGACATTAAATCTCAAATTAACTCTAAATTTTTGCTATTTGCTGATGATTTAAAAATCTATAGAATTATCGAAGACGTCTCAGATTGTGAAAAACTCCAAATTGATATTAACAAAATTATGGCATGGTGCAATAGGAACCAAATGAGCATTAATGTTGGAAAATGTCACTTTATTAGTTTCTGTAGAAGAATTAACAACCTCTCTTATAATTACAAATTAGCTGAAGAACCACTGAAGGCTGTCTCAACTGTAAGAGATCTAGGTGTTCAATTAGATTCCAAACTAAATTTTTGCGCTCATTTTGATTATGTGAATAACCAGGCATTTAAAATATTAGGCTTCATCATTAGAACCTCTAGATGTTTGCATAACATTAATACATTAATTCCATCAGACTGATTTACATTTCCCTAGTTAGATCTGTTCTTGAGTATTGCTCAGTCGTTTGGTTACCCACTTATAAAGTCCATATAGTCCATAAAGATGTATGCCGATGTTTTGTTTCTTCTTAAACTACTGAATTCAAAAATTAATTGCAATGATCTACTGTCTCTAATTGACTTTAATGTTCCCTCTAGAGTTACTAGAGCATCTCAAAATTTTGCAATTAAATTTCATCGCTCTAATTTTGGTAGGCATTCTCCACTGAGTAGAATCATTCTAAATGGAAATAGAATAGACTTTGATTTGTTGCTGTGCGCTTCGGAAAATGTCTGCAGAATGTGTTTAAAAAAATTTTTTGTAATTTTATGTGATTTATATTTGCTATGTGCTTTATATAATTTTAATATTTGTTTTTTTTTCTATATAGCTGCATCGCCAATTCTTTTCATACATATTTACTATATCTTTATAATTACTGTATCACTAGATAATACTTGTAATACTTTGTGTATATATTAAATTGGGTGGTATCCCGTTAATAAATAAATAAAAATAAAATACATTACAGAGAAAGTGGAGTGAGACAATATTTAAATACAACTTTCCTGGACGTTGGATTATTCGTGGTAGTCATATTCTTGTGGTGAGATATTAATATAATTATTTAATTCATAAAAATTTAAAAAATTACTTATTATTATACTTACAACATTTGACCATACACCACTTAACATCAACAAAACCAAAGAAATGCGATTTGGTACCAGAAACAACCAACCTATTATGATCAACGACCAGAAAATTGAGAGAGTAGCGGAATTTGTATATCTGGGCAGCATAATTGACTGTAATGGGGGTACAGAGCGTGATGTACATGAAAGAATAAATAAGGCTCGCAACGCCTACAACATGCTTAACAATATATGGAAATCCAGGATTTACCCAACTAAAACGAAATTAAAAATCTTCAACACAAATGTAAAAGCTGTATTACTGTATGGCTGCGAAACGTGGAAGATATCAGCACTCATAGTACACCAATTACAAGTTTTCATCAATAGAGCGTTACGAAAAATCTTTCGTATATTTTGGCCTAACCGAAT